GGCACGTGTATGTGTGTGCATGCCAGACAGGCTCATTAGTGGCGATCTAGACCATTAACAGTCTGTGTCCTCGTTGCAACACCAGCGGAGATGCAGGGCTGTAATTAGCTGCCGAGACTATCATCTCTTTCACATGTACACTCGACCATTTAGCTTCCACTAACATGCCACATTCTTCCTCACTGCGCCCGCCCACGCACTCGCACAAACGCCGAGCCACATGGTTTGATTCACACAGGTTGTGCGCACACCTACACAACAGCCAGGCACACACTTTCCTCATCTTATCCGCACGGATCCCCAGGCAAATTTTGCACGCAAGCCCCCGCACACTTACATAAACTCCCCTTGCTAGTAGTACCATGAGTAAACTGTACATTATGCCTGGTTTGACATTTCGCCTCATGTGACCACCAGCTGCTTTAGAAACCGTGCGGACCTCAGGTGAAGGTCTGCTCTCTAGAAAAGGAAAAGAAGAAAAGAAGAAGGGTTTGATTCAGTGAGCCTCCGCTAGCCTCCCAGGGAATCAGTGTGTAACTAGACAGTGATTCATTGGCTGTGTGTGTTCAAGATGGAATAGTTGGAAACAAAAGAGAGAAAGAGAAGGGGAGGAAAGAGCAAGAGAGCGATGAGTTCGGCTCTCTGCCAGTAAGCCACAGTCTGTCTGCCATGTTCACACTTGCAGCTCTGTCCCCACCGGTTCCAAAGCCGAGGCGGTGCCCGCCAGGGATCAATATCCATTCCTATCGGCACAGGGAGGGAGCCAGGGGTATTGTGCATGAAGGGCGAAATGCTGAGATTATATCAAGTAGAAAATGCGATGGTAGCCTTATTGCCATCAAAATTAGACCACTGAACTCTATATTGTGCTTTGGATCCCTTTCCTGTCTGTGGGAGGAGTAGAGTCACTGACCTCGGTTGCCTCTTAAACAAATCAAGCGCTCCTATTTGGCTTTTAATGGGATGGAGTGATTACCCAGTGACTGCACGAGCGTGTTTGAATAAATTCTGCTTTAATATCACGCATATTCAATCGTGTACCTAGAAAATGATTTTGTTTTGCACACAACTGCAATGAAGCTGATTTTTTTAAAAACATAAGACCAACATGAAACAATTGATTCAATAGAAGTGGATAGAATCGGTTTTCTGCTGTAGCTTTGATGTGAAGCTGGCATACATTTTTATAAAGGGCCAAAACATTTGCACACTCTACCATCATTTCTAGTGCTATCGTTGTCTCGTTTAAATAACTGAAGGGCTAATGTTAGCCTCTCACTGTAAAATTAAAGAGATCTTTTTTTATGGTGAACAAATGTAGCCTAATGCGTTTCAGATGGTTGACTGTGTGTGCACCTTTTGGCATTTATCTTTTTTTTTTTTTTTTTTACCTCCCACGTGTAGGATTTTTAAAATTTTTTATCAACTCACAATTGGCTTTCAGCAAATGTAGAAAGATGGGTAAACATTAACATCATTAGAAATTATTTGATCTCTTATCAAAATTCACCAGAGACCCCACTCGTCTCTCTGTGTCGCTGTGTGTGAATTCAAGCACTGGATGAACAGATTATTTTTTTGTGCTTGGGTGGAGTCAATTTCAGCTCGTATTCGTGCAGCTTATCTAGCTTGTTCTTCTCCAAATGAATGTGCAATTAAACCTTTGATGCACATTTTGCCCCGTTTTTTTTAAAAATAACATTTATTTATTTTAAGGCCAGAGCAGTCAAAGCAATTGTTCACTGCCCTGAAACAAAGTGGTAGTTCCATCTAAAAATGCTAACAAAACTAAAAATTGAAAGCCATCCAACTTGTTGTTAAATATTGTATTTGTTAGTTAAGATCGGTGTTATCTAATCTTTCCATAAAAGATAAAACCTTTTAACCGAGATATACAATTTTGCTGTTCCCTTATGTGAGAAGTAAGATCGCAGTCACCCAGGCCTGACGGAAACAGGAAACAGAGGCTTTGCCTTCAAAGTAAAAGTTGTTTTTTGCAGCTAAATCCAACATGTTTCAGAATGCGCAACTTTTACCTTGAAGGTAAATCTCCATTTCTGCTTTACATCATAATGCTCAGTTTCACATCCACCTAGTAGTAGTTGGGGAGTGTTGGCATCGCCCAATGATCTACAGGCTTGTGTGACTGAAGCCTAATATAAACACTGTTGATCATGCTCCTGATAGCACTCCTCACCTGATGTGCCACCTTCACACTGAACACTGTGGACTACACTGTGGTGTGGTGCACATGGATTATTTCAGTTTTATGGACAGAAACTTTGGTAATTCTTGATCAAATCTTGTTTCTGTCAGTGAAAATTGTGTGTCAAAAAATGGAGCTGTGCGATATGATGAAATATATTGGATGACAAAATGAAAACACCTATTGTTTCATATTATACGCTATTGCTTGTTTCGTGTCCCAAACATAACAAACCTTTTTTACCACCTACCCAAGAATCACGTGAAAGAGTGTGGAGAGAGTTTACGGATGAGAAGAATAAAAATCACAATTACTTATTTGCAGAAATTGGCAACATTGTAGTCAGTTGCTACTCTGCAGTTCAGTGCATCTTTTTCCTTAACAGGAACAAACATGTAACACTGTGAACAGGCTTGATAAGCAAAGTATTCCTTTCACAACCCCAGAGGAGCAGACATCGTAGTCAGAAATGGTAATGATTTAAGCATGGAAGGAGAAGCTGCAGCCCTGTCTTGCTCTGCGTTTGATCTCACAATCCTGTCTCTTTCCCTCAACACCTACGCAGCTCCTATATCCTTAAATATGGGATTTGATGGGAAAAAAAATTCAACTTCTTTATTCAGACTTTATTCAGTCGAAAGAGAAATGAAGGCCCAT